TATTATATATTATTTTTAATATTTGGTAGCGTTGCTAAACATTTCAAGATGTAGTTACTGATTATTCAATAGAAAACAATTTACCAGATGAAAGCTTTAGCACATACCTCATAATGAACGATCTTATTCTCCAAAGAGGTTTTCTAACTCAATATCATTATCACCAAGAATGATGTGATGTAGAATTTAATTAAAGAAATCCTACAAAATTAACGAAACTCGCTTTCAAATTAATGGGATTTACGAAAAAAATAATGTCAAGATTAGAAGACCATACGTAATATTTCTGTGCACTTAGAAAGAAAATTGATCAAACACGACGGAAAAGTGTTTTATTAAGATATTTTGGCAGCAAGCCATCTGAATACGGATAGAAAATGAGTCAGCAGATATTAAAAAAAGAGAAAAGGATATATGACATGGACTTATCTTCTTACCGAACTTATTCAACTTATATAAGGACTAAATTTTGAGATAATTAGATTTCCTACCAGGATTCATTATTGGCGGCCACAGTCTTAGTAACACAAGATAAGTAGATTACACATTATTGCTAGCAGACTCGAGGAGAAGACTGAAAATTCTCATACAGAAGATAGTAAAGGAAAGCGAGAAGAGAGGTCTACACAACAACTGCGAAAAAGACAGAATTAATGCCTTTTAGAAAAAGAAAATGCAAATTACAAATCGAAGATACCAAAACCAAATGTGTAGAAAAATGTAGGACGTGTTTTAAGACAGGAAGGATACTGAAATCCGAAGAATCATTAAGAGAGCCAAATATTCATTCTAAAAGCTAAACAGAGTATTAAGAAACATAAAAATGTAATTAAAAGCTACCTGATAGCTGTCCTCTTATATGGCAGTGAAGAGACTTGAAGCAACAGAAACGTGATTTTACAGAAGCATGCTGAGGATACCATGGTCCGAACATCTGAGAAACGACGAGGTTTTAGAGAAAATGGAAACAAAAAGGAAATTTATACTTAATATCTGGAAGAGGCAGTTGACATTTCTGAGGCGCATAATAAGAAAAGATGGGGTTTCGAAATCTGATACAGGTCAGTTTGTGGATGAGAAGGAGTGACGAAAACTGTGCATAACATACGCGCTCTGCTTAAATACCTGAATGGTGGAACAGCGTTTAGAGAATTTTTTTTTTATAAAGAAAATACTAATTTTATTAAGAGCTACAGAGGACAGAAAATCCTGGCGAGCCATGATTGCCTACGTTCAGAGTGGACACACCCTATAAAGAACATTAGAATCGATCTAATCAAGTTATACTGCATTTATTTTCTCATGGATCTATAATGTGATCATTGTAAATTCTAATTCTCTTGTCAATTCACATGTGTGAGTTGAGGTGTGGCTTTTGGTGTTTTCTCCGAATGTGTTCTTTTTTTTACGAGGATGCGATAAACTCTCCGCATTTTCCATCTCAAGTTGCATTTTATTTGCATTCTTTAATCGGTTGTCCCACATGTACACATGTAAGAACAGCTGGGTTGATCACCTTTTTATGTGACGCAGGCAGATATTGACGTCGCGGGAAGTGGTTATGATGTTATCTCCCGGATCAAGTCGATGATGAACCTAACTTTTCTGAAAGTTCTGGTTTAACGACGAAAGCGAATTCTAATCTGGGTGATCATTAAGCATATTGAAGTCATCGCAGATGAACTTCACTTAGAACAAATATTCCATATTTTTAATCATTTAACATCAAGGCAGCAACGTCTAAAACGCAAGGTATTACTGGGTGAAAGAGAATATAAGAAAGAAAAATCTATTAAAGAGAGTTCACAATAAAAGAACATTTAGAAAACAGAAGATATTTATTTTTGAAATTAAGCGTTTAAACTGTAAAACGTTGAGAGCCTGTCGCTAATCAAGTGTTGTGGGTACATTCATAATCTCTTGGTAGCATACAGAAAAGATCATGAGAACAGTTACCAATTTTATATAGAAAAGGCACAAGAAAGTTTCGTTAATGGTGTGGGAAAATGACTGAATACGAGATACCAGGCCAGCACTAATACCATTGCTGATTATTCTTTATATTTTATCAAGAATATTTAAATACATGATAGAAGCATCACACCTAATGTGCCAGTAATATTCAAAACATGGCCGAATAGTAGACTTATTAATGTGTACGATAGATTCTGATGTGGAAAATTGTCAAGCACGACACAAATTTCCTTGAAGCAGACGTAGTATTTGATTCAATATATTATGCCCACTTCATGTTAGCGACAAACATTACCCCGATAATATACACTGAGTGACTTTCTTAGAGATAAGCATTATCTATGCTGATGGAAGTCAAAAGAGTTCTGACAGATAATTACAAGAGAGCAGTTTCGCGTTAGAAAAGTTAAAATTTTCAAACAGTTCCTTGCCCGTATCTATCTATATTTCTGAGATGAGGTATTATGTACACTATTTACATTATTCGGACTATTGTCCTCATCTTCGCTGCCATATTTATCTTGCCCCTGAACAACAGATTGTAGGTTATGTTTTAGACCTGAGGAAACCTGCATTAATTTAAAAAGATCTAGATTAGTGGCTGTTTGATAAGTAACACTGAATCTATTTAAAAATGTGTGTAACATATATACCATAACCTTTCAACATATGGAGAAGGTCAGTATGGCAAACACTGTTTTCCCCATTCTCATGTAAAAATTGATATACTTTCAGTAGCAATCCTTAATATATCAGTACTTGATCGAGAGAAGCAAAATCCATATTACTTATCTGAAAGAAAACATTGCAAATTTAGATGCCTAACTAATTTAGTATTGATTAGAGCTTCAAGTACCAAATAGCGGTAAAAGACTAATCGGCCGATAATTACAAGGGCAGACGATTAGACTGATTTCTTAAAGACTGGAACTACGGAATAGGAACTCCAACAAAAAGGAAACCAAAAAGTTGCATATATTTTCCGTTGAGTTTAGAAAGAAAAGTAGCCAATTCAGGGGCAAGTTATTCTAAGGTCTATTACAGGGATACCATCATGTTTACGTGCTTTGCGGGAATCTAGTTTAGTGACGATAGTAGAAACCATAGCCGGAGTTATATGTATATCACTCAATAGAGACTCAGTTCTAAGTGGAAATGTTTGAATTATAATCAGTGTTGTGGAGAATTTGAAATGAAAAAAAATTATTTCTGAATATAATTCGGGTGCACTGATGCATGTGTTATGCATATAAAGTTAGAATTTATGTGAAATAATAATAATGAGAAGAATACTCATTAAAATAGGTAAACATTGCCAGAATTTAACGTTTTTCAAGGTTCGCTCGACTTTTGTCAAAGAAGTGCTTAATTTTACAATGACGAAATAATATTAAACGTAATAATGCATTTCGACTACATTTTAATATTTAGATATTATTACGTTCTTAATGAATTCTAGAAGCGTACATATTTGGAATTTGAAAATAGAAGTCTAAGATTAGTGTTTACTTTGTTGATCATAAATATATTTGTTAGTATTTTCAATAGATTATCGGACACTCTATGGAATTAACACATTAATTCCATCTGTATTTTACGCGCGTGCGAGTTTCCTCCCTTCCTTTCACACTCGTGCGTGTGTGCGCGCGGTTTGCACCCTTTCCTTCCTCTCACAGCTAGACGTAGCAGTAACCTGGAGGAAGAACTTCGCTAGCTCCTACTCATTTATTCCGTGCCCTTAACCCATATGCGGGCCGGAATATCTTATTTCAACAATGGCGACCTCACACTTTACCAAGACTTCTTCTCGTCTTGATGCTACCCGCAGGTCAGACCTTCTCCGTTTTCGACCAGAAGACGTTCGAGACACACGGCACAGTCGTGAGCAAAACTTCATATTCAACAAGTGGCTTATTTTTTATCCCTCGTCAGTCAAACTTGAAATACAGACAGAGATATCTTATTGACGAACAAACTTGCTACCCGCAGGTCAGACCTACTCCGTTTTCGACCAGAAGACTTTCGAGACACACGACACAGTCGTGAGCAAAACTTCGTATTCAACAAGTGGCTTATTTTTTATCCCTCGTCAGTGAACCAGTAAATACAGACAGGGGATATTCTTGCTTACGAACAAACATTTTCGTCTCCCCTGGACTCGCCGTAAACAACTCCACAAGACCATGAAACTCGCTTCAAACATTCTTCGTTTCTCCTGGCTAGATGCCCACAGCAATCCTGTAAAATTTCCAGCAGCCAATTCAATGCCTCACCAAAAACTCTGAGACGACCGAACATTCTTTTTAACCATGAACCTGAACACAAAAATACCACACACACTTACAACGCCAAAAAAAAAAAATCCACAGTGAGTACTCCTTTCTATCTGTGCGCACATACACCTCGTGTTTAACGAGTTCCCTTTTTCCAGAACTTTATAAAACTCTTTTTCCCGCCTTGTTCATCTTGCATTCCTATTTAGGCGCGGAACTCTTCTCTAATCTCGTACCACGAGATAATCTACTTGTTTCCATCTAATTAAAGTTACACATGTTTTATAAACAGACGTCTTTGTCATTTTATTCCGGCTATCTCTTTGATGTTTATTAATTTATGCACTAGTTGATTGACCCCTTTCCTCTCACTGTTCATTCACGCATTATTATTTTTTTTATACATTGCTTGTGGACTCGGTAGTTTAGTGTGGTGTCTGGCACAAGGCCACTTTGTAATAAACCAGCACTGCACCCTACCGGGCCTGCAACAACTCTTGTTCTAATCAGCGGTAAAATACTGGATTAGGATTGATATAAGCCGCTTGAACATTTATGAATGTTCTTGTTTACTGAATAAATTATACGTTATCAACATATATATATATATATATATATATATATATATATATATATATATTATTTAAAACTGCTTTCATCGCAAACATAGAAAAACAAAACCTAAATCTTAAATTAAACTTAAAATCTAGAGTTTAGTTTCATTTTCAAGCGATGCTGAATAACTTTCGAAAATCACGCTGAAAACATTGGTTCCCGTCTGATCACCAAAGTTAAGCAACGTTGAGCATGGTCAGTACTTAGATTGCTGACCGTTTGATAATACCGGGTGATGTCTGTGTTTGAGGAGGAGGCACGGTGGGTTAGCGGTTCAGATTGAGGAATCGGGGAGCCGAGTTCGAATACAAGTTGAATCCATTACATTCGCTTACGTGCAAAAACGCAGGACAGACTGGGTTCTATATCCTTTGATGGTAACTGGTCTACTGCTTAAAGAAATGGCGATCTACTGCGGAAAAGAAATCTGCCTCGTCTGTCATCGAAAGATAAATGATCGCCAAAGCGTGTATCACACAGTGCACATAACTGACTGAAATTGTTGTATAGTATAATTTGGTATGGGAAAGAGAATTTTATTTTTTTTGAAAGGGATGTTCGTTTTCTTGACGAATGAGGTTACAAGTTTAATCAACGGTAGCAAAGTAAGTATCGGTTATGGCTAGGTGTGGGTTTGAAATTTCTGTCTGTTGATATATGAGAACGTGTCATCACAGTCTGGTTTATTTAGGATACACTACAATAAAATTGGAATTTTTGATTTTATTTTTATTTATTTTCTTATTTTATAAAAACTTTGAGTTTTTCTTAAAAGGTCTTTCCAATATGATAAACATATTTTTATATTTATATTTAAATTTATGTAGGTCTAAAATACTGCATTTATTATATTTAGTTATAAACTATATACAGTATTGCAAAATTAAAATATTAGAATTTAATTACGCCTTGATCAAATAATAGATATATAATTAAGCAATTTTTTTAATTAATTATTTTTTAAAGAAAATATAATACAATGTCTAATAAAACTGAAATTTCATTCCGTTGTTTAATAAATCTTTATTTTTCAGAAACTTATATATAACTTTTAATGTAGGCACAAAGGACATGGGTCATTTAAAGATATACATGTGATCGTTTTTCTATTAGTTTCCATTTTATTGTGGGTAATTTATTAGTTTCGTTTTCGTTTTTGGCATCTAGAAATACTAAACTTTAAATTTTAAACTTAATTAAAGAATTAGGTTTTGGTTTGGAAACATGGTAATTCATGTGTTGCGCTGAAAATATATTTTTAAATAATAATTATAATAATATGCTCTACTGTGTATCGAGCACTGTTTTTAAAAATAAATCTTAAAGAACTCTGGATAATAAATCTGATTGTTATTATATGTATATATATATATATATATATATAATCGACTCTCCCGTCGCGTTCGACGTATGAGGGTCAGGCCGATAAATCCCCAGGAAACCGACATCCCGACACCGGCACATGAGATTTGTTTATAGTGGTGAAGGCCTTGTGCAGGACCAGCCACACTTTTTGGAGGGACGAATACAGAAACCTGGTGCACCGAATGCATGCCACAAGGTTCCCAAACGACCCTCCGCAGTTTTGAATTCAGAGTTGTCCTTCTCCTAGACCAGTTGCCATCCAAGGCTATAGAACCCAGTCTGTCCTGCTATTTTACCCATAGCTGGAGGGAGATGAAGAGGATACATACCTTTCCCAAGGGTATTAGCACGTAAGTGAATGCAGTGGATTCGACTGGAATTCGAAGGCACGGTGGAGGCACGGTGGAGCAGTGGTTAGCGGCTTGGATTGAGGAATCGCAGAGCCGAGTTCGAATATTCGAATATATATATATATATATATATATATATATATATATATATATATATGCAGAAATATAGTGTGCAATATTTATGGGATAAAGTGCTCAGTATCAGAGAAAGAGCGTATGTAAATATAAATATAAAAGTGAACATTGAAGTCAACACTCAGAGGCTGCATTCTGTTTCATGCTAGATGCAATGTGTGTGTTTGTCTGAAGCTGAATGTATATGTGTGCGTGTGGGTGCTTTTGCAAACTTGTGTGCACTTACTACGAGTACAGCCTATTTCATGAATCATGACGTCATCATAAAATGCAAAACCTAATAGTCGCAGCACAAATAAATATTAATCGTATTTATTCTTTTTGGTTATCACGAGCGTCTCTCATTGAATGATCCCATATTCCAGTGAACGTCATTTCACTCGTATTGATATATATTTATATATAAATATATAATTGCTAATTGTGTGCGGTATCTATATAGCCTTGACAGTTTTGCCAAGAAGACATAAGATGTCGCGGTCAGATGATTATAAAACCGGGAGATTCCTGCATTCATTGTCTCTTCCCACTTTTCATACCCGCACTTGTGATGGTAAACACCACGACGGTCTTGTACAGGGGCATAGGGCTATGTGTTCCCCTCAGAGACTGAACACATGAGTGCGTGTTTCAACCACATTATTTTTCCTTTGCATGACTACTGCGTATAGACTTACTTTACTTACTCAATTCTGTCATAACAAAAATATAAAATATCACGTTGTTGAAGTCGTATTCCATTTCCTTACAACCTACATATGCAAAATATAATTGCAAATGTTTTAGTCAAAATATTAGAAACGCCCGGTACAATGGATAAATTGTCGCTATTTTACAATTTAAATTTCACGAATGCAAGTTGTTTGTTTATTTGTCGGCTACAAATTATCG